TAGCCGTGGAGTAAGGGAGCAACCGACGACGACAATAATAATGCCTTGCATTTGACACAGCGCCTTATCATGCAGGTGAGATGTCTCAAAGCGCTTCACAGGATACGCTGTAAAGGGAATCGACTGTGTATTTTGTGGGCGAAACACGACAGCCAATTGCGCACAGCAGCGTCCCCACAAACAGCCGTGGATTGAGTGACACTACCCTGCGTGGAGGGGGCGATATAAGTGCAAGTTGTTGTTGTATTGCTGCTTATGTGAGAGAGCTTCCCCTCCCTCACCCCCCGTCCACCCCTTCTCAGACCTCTTTGAGTTACCAGACAGATACCCTGACCTGAGCTACAGTTCAGCCTCTGCACCAACAGGCGAGACCACTTGGTGGGTGGCTACGCCATACAGTACGGGGTGGGTGGGGGAGACACAACCCAGGGTGCGGCGGGATGGGGTACACAAAAAAGATGGGGGTGGGGGGAGATTATTTTTTTCCGTCCGATGAAGAAACGAGCGGGTACAAAGCAGGTTGGGGGGGGGGACCGTGGTAGCACAAACAGAGAGGGTTAAATCACGTCAATCAGCCAATTCATTCTATCTGTGTGTATGTTTGGAGGGGGGAGGAGTAGTGCGTTGAGGGGGGTTAGGGGGAGGAGGGGGTTAGTGTGCGTGACTGGCAGTTGGGAGGTGCTGGGGCTGGTGGGGGGGGTGTGGGTGTATTTTTGAAGTGTCCTGGGAGAGAAAGCGTTGTGTTAGAGACAGTCATAGCAAAGACAGCAAAAACCGCAGCCAGAATCCCCCGGGTAACACGGATCACAAGATGCGCAGCGGGGATGTGGAGGGTGGGGGGGGGGGGGAACGGTTGAGGGAGGGGTTGGGGATTCAGGTGGTGAAGCCCCTTCCCCCTTTCCCCACCCCCATCGATAGCAAAACAACCCCCTTTGTGTCCCGTTACCACCAACCCTCCACGTCCACCTCCACTCACAGCGTCATTAAATGAGTCCCAGCGCCCCGTCCTGCCCTCAGCCGCCCGCCCGCCCGCCCGCTCCTGATAACAAGCTGAGGATGTCGGGGGAGGCCGGGGGGGGCTGGAGTGGGGAGAAACAGGGGAGGTGGTCGTGGAGGGGTGGGGGGGTGGGGTGGGGGAGAAACGGACGACAGGATAGCCATCACTTTCTTTGGCAAAGTTTATCTTATCTCTTGTTTTCCTTCGTTTCCACACGGTGCCCTTTTGAGGAATTGTAACCTAATAGGGTTTTTTTTAAAGGATCGGTTAAAAAAAGAGGGGGTGGAAATAGCGGATGGGGGGGCAGGAGGGAAGGGAGGGGGAGAGAAAGGGGATGGTGGGGGGAGGGGGGGGTAGGATTTTTTTGGTCATTATCAAACAAATTTCTACCAAAAACAGAGAACAGAATCACATGACAGTCACCATCATCACGACGACAGCACGCACGGATGGACAAGACACTTGACATTCCTGCTCGGAGAGGCGGGCGGGCGGGGGGGGGCGGGAGGTTCCGGGTTGGGGGGGTTGCAGGAGGGGTAGGGGTGTGAGAGGGAGGGAGGGAGGGAGGAAGGGGGAGGGGGGGGGGGTGGCGGCGAGCAAATGTCAAGACAACTCGGAAAACCGTCCGAGCGGTTCTCAAAGCCTGGTCTGAACACGTGGCCGAGGGTGAGCCCAACGCAACTGGTACCAACGCAGTCTGCCTGGCTCCAATGCAGCCCGCCATGCAGCTACTGAACAAAACCACCCAAGGCATCTTTTTTTTTTGGCGGAGGAGGGAGGGAGGGAGGGAGGGAGGGAGCGGGGGGAGAGAGCGAGGGAGGGAGGGGTGAGAGACACGAAAGCCGAGCAAAACACGAGACATGCCACACAGAGAGAGAGAGAGAGAGAGAGCGAAAAAGAGAGCGTGATAGAGAGAGAAAGAGAAAGAGAGAGGAGACCGAGAGAGACCATGAGAGAACAAACCAAACGATGGGTTACCCGCCACCCCTTCCTACCCCACCGCACGCCACCTTTCTGCCCTCTCCTTCTCCACCCGCCCTTCATCTGACTCTCCGCAATACCCTCCCCCCCCACCGCCATTACCCCTCCTTTCTCTTTCACCCCAACCCATCACCCCCCCCCACCCCCCCCCCCCGAAAAAAAGTGGGCGATGAAATTATTTTAATGCCGTCCACTTTCCTTCCAATTACACAAAGGAGAAACCAAACCAAATGATACGCAAACCCCAAATCAAATCGGAAGTGAATTAAAATAAGGAGATTGAGAAGAGAGAGAGCGTGTGTGTCTGGGGGGGGGGGGAGGGGGAGGGGGGTTGGGGAGGGGGAGGGAGGGGGGGAGAGAGAGGACGATTCACAAACAGTTTGGAGAGAGAGGAGCAAAAGTGAAGGAGGAGGAAGCAGGTGAGGAGGGGGAACGATTTATTTGCGATTCAATTTTATGTTCGACTTTTTTAATTAAAAAGATTCGTACACAACTTTCTTCGAGGATCCGATGGTGGGTTTGGGGGCTGTGGAGGGGGGGTTCGCTGAGAGGGGGTGGGGGTGGGAGGGGTTAAGTTTACACCACCAATGTTCCAACGGGGGTGGTGGTGGGGACGGGCAAGAAAGGTCTTTTTTTTAGTATTTCTTTATTGATAATAATCAAACATATTCCAAGAGAGATTAACCACTGAAAATTAAAACCTTTGTTTTGATTATTTCGAGGTTCTCCCATCGGAAAAGGGATTAAGAGCAGAGAGTTGGTCAGAAACTCGCAGGTTGTTTCTGTATTTCATTTCGTCTCGAAAAGAGAGGGAGAAAGAGACTCGAAGGCACGCAAATGAGAGAGAAAGAGGAGAGAGAGAGAGAGAGAGAGAGGGAAAGAGAGAGAGGGGGGAGAAAGAGAGGGCAGGGGAGAAAGAAAGAGAGGGAGAAAGAGGAAAAGAGAGCGAGAAAGTGAGATAAAGAAAGAGAAAGGAATATCCAAAGTATATTTTTCCAAAAAAAGAAAAACAAATGATAAATATAAATGTATATATAGATGTGTCCGCGCACATGGGTATATACATATATATGTATTGACCATTCTGGAACCACCCAAATTTCATGCGGCAGAAAATGAAGTGAACGATGGAAGAGATAGATGCTCCCAACAAAATGGATGAGAAGGTCACAGGTCGCTACAGTTCTCCCAGACATGCGCTCTCTGCTAATAACGCTGCTCATGCTTCTCTCACGCCGGCTGATGCTGGGCTACAATGAGGGAGTGAATCTCTGTGTAACTATGGAGGGCGGGGAGGGGAGAGAGGGAAGGGGCTGGGCTTTTGAAGGGAGAGGAGGGTAATTCGAGGGTGGGGGGGGTGGTGGGGGGGGGGGTAATGTGCCAGGCCAGGGTGAGTTCCGATGCTATCTGTCTTTAAATTAATTTAAATTAATTAGGCATTTAATAATCCCCCCCTGCCCCTCCGCCCTCGTCCTCCGAACAAAAAGGCCAGAGAAATCGAGGTGTTTTGCTTTGAACCTCAGCAGAGTGGGGTGTGAGCGTGTTGTGTGTGCGCGTGTTGTGCGTGTGTGTGCGTGTTGTGCGTGTGTGCGCGTGTGTGTGAGGGTGTGAGTGAGTGTGCTCGCGTGAGGTGAACTCCAATCAGCCATCTACCCCCAAAAATCTTTCACGTAAATATTACATATTACATCCATCCATATACAGCATAAAAATATATATAGAATATAGATATAGAAATTCCCGATCACTCCGAGAGGAAATGGCTCAGTGAGCGACTAGTTATCAGGAGTTATGTATCAACGCATAAATAAATGCAGTCGGGCTATTGACAGCATGATGACTTAAGTGGTGGTGATGAGTTAAGCCAAGGTTGAGTTAGCCATAGATTTCTCTCTTAAAGCTTGGAATTTATTTGTTCCTCTCCTCTCCCCCCACCCGTCCACCCTCGCAGACAGAAATCTCGGCACTAAAAGTTCCATACAATACTATGGTAACCTGCCTTTTTTTTTCCACACGCAATTGCTGATTGATATCTGTTCTCCATTATATTTTGGTCAACTCAGAACTCAAGAGTATCCAAAATATGAGTCAATTTAGCTGTTATTTCCGGGCCGGTGGGGTGGGGAGTGGGGAGTGGGGAGTGGGGTTTGGGGGGGAGGGTGGGGGGGATGGGAGGAGAGGGGGGAGGGTGTGGGGGAGAGGAAGAGAAAAAGTTCTGACAGTGATTAAATGTAACGTTGGCCAGAAAACTACAATGAGGAAGGGAAAGTGTTGGATGAGCACTTTATAGAGAGGAGGCCGTGCGCACACTAGCGCTGATGGGATGGATAAGTTTTTGAAGCCACCTGTGGTGTGGTCAGGGAGAGAGACAGAGAGAGAGAGACCCACCGCCTACTGTTTTTTTTATTAAACGCTTCTCTGCTTGGTTTAAAGTCGCTCCGACAGTTCCCCCTCCCCAGTCTCCCCCCGACCACCCCCCCTCACCCCCCCGCCCGGCCAGAGTGAGCGTCTGTAGTGACTGCAACCCCCATTCCGTGGGGCTCGTGTGGACGTCTAGACGTTGACGGGGTCGGAGGCAATAATAAACGTCAAGACCTTTTTTTTTTCTCGTCGACTCCCGTTCGAATCAAGTCGTGACCCGGGGGGATAGCACTCGGCTGTTCCAATTTACTGAGGCCGCAGCCGACAATTTGCAATTTGCTCCTGATTCGGACCCGTGTGAAAACTTCTCCCTCTCACCCCATCGCTCCCTGACACATCGCCTCTCTGCTCCGCCCCACTGTCCATCCCATGGGATCGGTTTTGCGTTACGCTGGAATAGCGTTCACATCCCCCCCGCCACCCACACACAGTTTTTGCCCTACCTCCCCCCACCACTCCCTCCCCGCCGGTCTCAGCCCCCCCTCCAACCCACCCCCACGCCCACCCCTCCCCACCCGCCACGCCGCATCTCCGAACGTCACTCTGCCACAGGAGAGAACACAAGCGAGCGAAGAAAAAACAGCGGACTGACCTAACCCACCTGAGCTCGGCTCACACTCCTCTAGATCCTCATCGTCGCTCGAGCATTCTGCTGAAGACACGATAATGTCGTCTGAATTCTGCAACAGACAAGGAAACACACACGTTTCACTTCACCTGCACAACAACAACAACAAGAACCACAATAATAATCCTCACATTTGATATAGCTCCTTATCACGTCGTTGAGACGCCTCAAAGCGCTCCACAGGATTGCAGCAGTGATCCCACAAACAGTCGTTCCCCCAATTCACAGATTGATGTAACAACAACTTGTATTTATATCGCGCCCTATGTTACAATAATAATAATCCTTGCATTTGATATAGCGCTTTTCATGTCTTCTAGACGTCCCAAAGCGTTTCACAGAATATACTGTAAAGTTAATTGTATATTTGTATATTTGTGGGCGAACGCGGCAGCCAATTGCGCACAGCAATGTCCCACAAACAGTCATGGATTGAAAATGACCAATTTATTATTGTTTTTTTTATTATTAAAAAATTAGGCTCTGTTTGGAGTAAGGAAATTTGCCCAAGGTTTCGCCCTGACCTGCCGGGGATTGAACTCAGGTCTCTCACTTGCCAAGCGAGTGCTCTAACCAAGAGAGCTACATGTCTCTGTTTACCCAGCAGTAAGTAGGAACCCAGTTGTTGGTCGATTGGGGGATCATTTTTCCGGGGGGATATAAACCCTTTAAAATAAATGAATAAAATAATAATAATTTGGTCGCTCGATCCACGGCTGTTCGTGGAACGCTGCCGTGTGCAATTGGCTGCCGAGTTTCGCCCACAAAACACACAATTAATTCACTTTACAGTGTATCCTGGGAAACCCTTTGAGACGTCTCGAAGACGTGATGAGGCGCTGTATCAAATGCGAGGATTATTATTATTATAAAGCCCCCGACTATGGGGAACCCACAACCTTCTGACTCGGGTTTGGGGCTCGGAGAAACAGCTGTTGAGCCTGACACAGACCTGACTCGCCTTCCCCACCAGTGAGCCTCTCTGGAGGAGAGGGAGTGAGGTGACCCTGGTTCTCAGGCAGGTGTAACTAGCTCCCTGTGCGCCTGTCTGTCTGTCTGTCTGTCTTACAGCTGCTGCAAACATCTGGCCAGCAGCCAGCAGGGAAGGGATGTCCAGATGTTGTCCTGACCCTACTGCACGTGCGAACAGGTAGGAGCCCACACCTGAGATTTTTCTCTCTTTCTCTCTGCTCAGCGAACATCAGCCTAAACATCGCCCTCCCTCCACCCCTCTCCCCCTCTCTCCGAGTCTCTCTTTAAATCAACCGCAAATAAAATCGGGTTGCTCTTTCACTGCTCCAGTCGTGCGCGTAGCCAGATCCCAAACCTCAAACCTGGAACCTCGCTCTCACTCAACTCCCCACGCTCTCTATTCCACCCCCCCCCACCCCCCAAAAAAAATTTGGTCACTCAATCCACCACTGTTTATGGGACACTGCTGTGCGCTGTCGGGTTTTGCCCACAAAACGCACAGTCGATCCTCTTGACTATCAGTCATCAATGATACTGATGTTAGTAATAATCCTCGCATTTGATACAGCGCCTTATCACGTCGTTGAGACGTCTCAAAGCGCTTCACAGGATATACTGTCAAGTGAATTCGCTGTATTTTGTGGGCGAAACTTAATGACTTAAGTGATAGTGACAAGTTAAGGCATTGTTGTATTTTTTTACAAGTTCAATTTCGCAATTTCTGGAATTAATCCTGGACTTTTTTTTAATATCCCCAGTGTCGGACGTTCAAATGGAAGTCACTCTCTCTACCCTTCTCTCTATCTCCCTTTCCACCTCTCTGTTTCCATCTTATCTCGCCCTCTATTCCCCTCCCCCTCTCTCCCCTTACCCCGCCCTCTATCTGGACAACTCTCTCCTTCCTTCTGCCCTTCTCTCTCTGTCGCCCCCATCTCCATCCGTTCTCTGCCCCCACTTCTCTATCCTCTCTCTCTCTTTCTCGCTCTGTCCCCCTTCCTCCTCTCTCTAAACTCTTTCCCTCCCTCTCTGCCTCCTTCCCCCCACTCTCTGTCTGTCTCCTCTCCCCACGCACTCCCCCCCCTCTCTCTCTCTGTCCCCCCACTCCATCCCTCTTTCTATCCTCCCACCCCCTCTCCCTATCTATCCCTCTCTCTCCACGCTCTCTCCACGCTCTCTGTCTCCTCTATCCCTCTCCCTGTCCCCCACTGTGTCTCTATCGCTCTCTGACAAAGCTCAAAGCTCGGTATCAGAGCGAGCAGATGATGTACAGTACACCCTGGGTTTCAGACAGATTAAAGTACGCGAGAAGCGTTGGGAAGAAATAGCTTTTATAAAAATGTATAAATTACAGAAAGAGAGATAGAATTCTCACCCCGAGCTGGGATGAAAGGACATAAATATTCTGAGCAGCTGATGTCCACATGAGTGCAATCTAGACATGGCTGCAATCTTATTTCTAGTCTATATGGTTCCTGTCACTCACTGAGAGCAGGGAATCATCCTGTTAACCCTGTAATCCAAAGCCCGAACGGATAGGGTGGTCCTAGCTGGACAAGCAGCAGGAAAAATTGAGAGCCAGACAGTGCTCTCGATGGGCAATCAATGTGGTTTTAGCTGGTCAGACTCCAGCAGTTACCTCAAAAAACACTCTGGGGTCCCTCAAACTTCTTGCCAACATGTGCCTAATACTCTCTGGCATTAGGTAGGCAGACCCAGGGAAAATTCCAACGTGTAGGTAACATGCATGGAACTCGGACTAGTTTGGATATTCTTCAGCACAGCGACCGGTTTCTGCGTGTGTCAGACGCCCGGCTGATCGCGGTCACGGGTTTCCGCGTGTGTCAGACGCCCGGCTGATCGCGGTCACGGGTTTCCGCGTGTGTCAGATGCCCGGCTGACCAAAAAAAAAGGAAGCAAACGGAACAAGCAGCAGCCACACATGAAGCCAAGTGCAGCGGCAGCCTGTGTGTCCGACATAAGAGATGGTTAGAGCCAGTGTCTGTGACTGCCGTACAATGACTCCTGTTAATTACATTCCAGTCATTACGATCACGCGCACGATTAATCAGCAGAGAGATTGTACAGGGGAATAGATCCGCGCTCTGCCTGGCGTGTGCCTTACATAATACGCCGTGTGCTACCCGCAAGCAAGGTTTCGTCCTCGAGGGGATGATTCACAACCCGGCTACAGCTCCAATAAGTGGAGACTGACTGGATGCAAGTCAGGTTTGGGCCGAACGGTCGGCTTGTGGGCTGTAAGGTTCTTTGTAACTGGATTTGACAGTAAAGAGTGAGTGTTGAGAGGCTTGGCTGCCTCCCACTCCCCCCACTCCCCCCCGGGATGTGTGCGCTGAGCACAGCCGCTGTGAAGCTGCTCGCCTGGGCTGAGCAGATGGCAGGCTACAGCTGCACTGACATCCTCTGAAGGTTGAGTCCAAAGCGAGCGTCCTGGGAATTCCAGCAACAGCTCTCACTCCCGCTCAGATAAAGCGGTACTGGCTGTTCTCTTATCTATAGGAACGGCAGGCCATAGAGCAGACCAGTACAAGGCAACCTTCACACACGCACACACACACACACACACACACGCGCACCCTTCACGCCCTTCAGCTTTCACAAGCGTCTCTGCCGTCGGGAAGACTAAGGAGGACAGATGTTTGTAACAAGGGACATGGGGCGAAGCTGGAGAAACGGACTTGAGGTACAGACCATCCATGATCTTGTAGAATGGCGGAACTGGCTCGAGGGGCTGAATGGCCCTCCTCCTGTTCCCGTGTAGGAAGCTGCACACATCGGAGGCTCTGAGCTCACACAGTCCGGGCTGACACTCCAGTGCAGCACTGGGATTGGGGGGTGGGGGGGGTGTGTGAGAGAGAGAGAGAGAGAGAGAGGACCACATTGTCAGAGGTGCCGTCCTTGAGATGAGACGTTAAACCAAGCTGTTCAGGTGGACGTTAAAGATCCCACTGGGCTGTTGGAAAAGAGAAGGGAGTTTCCCTCTCTCTCTCTCTCTCTCTCTCTCTCTCGATGTCCCGGCCAACAAACCCCCAGATAAAATCGCTCACTCACTTTATTGGCTATTTGCAGGGACGTCATTGTGCACAAATTCGCTGCCGTGTTTGCCCAGGAAACACAAATCACCGCGCTTTACAGTAATAACCTGTGAAGCTCTTGGAGACACCTCAATGACATGATAAGGCGCTGTTATCAAATGCCAGGATTATTATTGTTATTATCATATCACAGGGTTTTTCTGCAAACTGTCGTGACCGTTTGTTTATAAGCGAAACATCCCGACATCTGACGACAATAACTATAATAATCCTTGCGTTCGATAGAGCGCCTCATCACGCCGTTGCGATGCACCAGCAAACGAACGGTCACTACGCATCACCGCTATTTTTCTAGCGAGAAACTTCATGTGTTATTCACGGCCTGCGCTGCTCGCTCCCCCCAGGCACGGCACGGCACGTCAGGCTCCCCTCCCTGTCCTCACCGGCTGTTGTGTCTGAGCTGACCGGCTCGGTGATTGAGGGGCCGTGTGGACAGAGCAGCGCAGAGAAAACAGTCGCTCAGAGCCATTTCCCCCGGCCACAGGCGCAGAGGGCTTTATCCACTGGTTTTACTACTCGCACCAGGTTGTAAAAGGTTATCATCCAACTCACCCAGGATTGCCCCGTCTCTGTACCTGGCTACGCGATAAGGCACTACATCCCTCTATTCCCCTCTCCTACACCCCTCTAATCCCCTCTCCTACACCCCTCTATTCCCCTCTCCCACACCCCTCTATTCCCCTCTCCCACACCCCTCTATTCCCCTCTCCCACACCCCTCTATTCCCCTCTCCCACACCCCTCTATTTCCTTCTCCGTTGTGTCTGCATCAAGTTTCCTCTGAAACACAGTGAATTTTTTTCACAGGTCCTGGCAGTGAGTTCCACATTCTCACACCCTCTCTGTGAAGAAGTCCCTCTTATACTCCCTGTTGATCCGTTACTGACTGCTTTATATTTACACCCTCTGGTTCCAGACTCGCCAACAAGTGGAAACAACCTCTCAACGTCTACCTTATCAAATCCTTT